TGTGTTTGTGTGTGTGTGTGTGTGTGTGCAGGCGGTTCTGATGGCTTCGTGAACATTTGGGATCCGTTCAACAAGAAGCGTCTGTGTCAGTTCCACCGTTACCCCACGAGCGTGGCGTCTCTGGCGTTCAGTACAGACGGCTCTCTGCTGGCCATCGCCTGCTCGTACATGCAGGAGCAGGGAGACGTCTCTCACCCCGCCGACGCCGTCTTCATCCGCCAGGTGACCGACGCCGAGACCAAGCCCAAGTGAGTCCCGCCTGCCTCTTCTCTTTCTTATTTTTATTTGTATAGCACTTTTCACGATACAAACTGTTGCAAAGCAGTTTTACAGAAAATTAAAGTTTGTACATTATATTTAGTAGTAGCTTATGTCCATATGGCAGAAATGTAAAGTGAAGTCATGCAGTTAGTTAATGACGTAATCAAACAGACGGTGAACTCTATCAGCAGCAACGATTATATTATATCCAGACTGAAGCTAGTTACCTCGGGACACAATTAGCGTAGCTGCTGTTCAAACCAAGCTAAAGGATGATAATGTGCATTTAATCAGATATAGCTGCGGTACAAGGTTATGAGATGCATTATGTGAATGCTTGGCTAAAGAGATGTGTCTTTAATCTAGATTTAAGGTCGATATCAGCATCGGCCGATACGTTTTTCTGTTTGAGGCGGACTTTATTGTGACGGCACTGAAACCAGCAGCACCTGAGCGTCGTTTAGCAGTTCGGTCTAATACGGTCTAATAATAGAACGGTTAAACAAAGGAATTAAAATGTATACAAAAAAGTATTATAACGATTGCTTTTATATCGTTAGTAATAGAAAGGCAAACATTATAATACTTTCTCATTTGCCGTCAGCATTCAGGAAATGCACTTGTATATCATAAACAAATCTTTGAATGACTAATGAACATCTAATTTCACAAACCTTACGAGCTTTGTTGAATCCAGCGTGAGATCTTGTGAAGTGAGCATGTGTTTATTGTTTGATGGCGTGTTCTCTGCGTGACGGTTGGTCCGTGTGAAGGAGAGTTCAGCTTCACGACAAACCTTAAACTCAGGATTTATGCTGTGCTTTATCCATTTGCCCGCTCACATATTCATGTCATTATCACTGTGTGCTCAATCGGCTTTACTTGAAAACATATGACTCCCAATGCACACAAACTCCCCAGAATACTGAGAGCCCTGTTGGTTACAGTGCTTACTTCCTTTTTTTAATTATATTTGTATTACATATTCATTTATTTATCACTTCAGCTCGTTCTTGATGATTGCGTCCAGTAATGTCATCAGAAAGAGCTTTAGCAGACGCTCTGATTGAATTTCCTGCGCTGCTCGATACGCGTCTCTCGATCACATGCTCCGCACCGTCTGTTAAATCTGTGCATGCGTGGATTTGTCAGAAGTGCAGATGTAGTGATCAGGCGGTTCGTTTGTTTTAAAGCTCGGGATCTTTGAGATGGATGTGCAGCTGATCTGATGTTTGTGTTCTTGTTGTCACAGATCCACGTGAATGAATCCTGATTAAACGCTCTGCTGCCCTGTTTGAACTCAACACTCGTTTCCTTCACGTCTGTCTATTTTACTCTCTCTCTGTCAACGGATAAAATTCAGTAAATGTTTTCATTTTATGTTTTGCCCTCCAATGTGTGTATTTTTATCTTTAGGAAAAATAAAAATATCCTTTTCACTGAACATGAGTGTCATATCATAATAGAAATCAGTCTGAAATCAGTGTTTTTTTCTCTTTCTAATATTGAAACTGTAAAGTTTTGCTTCAAACAGGTCAGACTTTCTCCTCTGATCATCTCTGATGTCCGTCTCACAGTAAATGAAGTTCACACTGACCCAAAGTCATTCATGCCATTATTTTATCAAATGAAATGTGGATTTAATTCTTTGAATTATAACCGTATGAATTCATTAAAAACAGGCATGAAATCCAATCAAATCCACAGAAAAACGCTTTTGTTGGTTGACTGAGTGAACCGTTCCTGTGTGCAGCTGCTCACACACTCACTTACTCACACATTCACTCACACACACACACACACACACACTCACTTACACACTCACTCACACACACACACTCACTTACACACTCACACTCACACACACTCACTTACACACTCACTCACACGCACTTACTCACTCACTCTCACACACACTTACTCACACACTCACTCACACACACTTACACACTCACTCACACGCACTTACACACACACACACACACACACTCACTTACACACTCACACGCACGCACTTAC